ATCAGGTACCCCGAGAACATACTCCCGATCCCGCTGCTCGTGTGGAAGATGCAGGATCGCTTCGCGAGCTCGTCCTTGCGGTACCAGCAGCCGATTATGTATTGCATCCCTGGGTAGAAGGAGCTTTCGGCTAGGCCTTTTTGCCATTCCGTTGGGGTTAGATGGGCTACGCCGGGGGGGAAAGGGAGGGGGTAACGTGCCGATGAAGAAGCGCAGGACGTAGAAGTGCGTTGGGGTTTTGGCCCGGGAGAGGGTGAAGGTTAGGATTGTCCAGAGGAGCTGGCGTGTTGTTAGAGCTGCGATGGGTGATGAATGATGGGTAGGGCAGGGCAAACCTCCATGGCGGGGATCCAGTAGCGAGGGCGCACCCGTGTGAGAAGCATGTTACTCGGGATCTCGCCAATGACATAGCCCACCGTCCAGCAGGCTTGCATATAGTTGAGTTGGTTGCCATATAGCCCGAGGTCTTCTTTCCTGGTGGGAGTTAGTCGGGTTGGAGAACGGGGTGTGGATGTTTCGGGTTGTGTACGAACATCCCGGAGACGAAGGCATTGTTGATGTTCACTTGGTCGAGGTATTTGATGAAGTATCCTGGAAATTGACAAGGTCAATTAGAATGATAACTATGGTTGGATATGTCCTGGGAAGCCCACCGAGAGATGCAAAAGTCAATATCGCCGTGTCAAGCTTGAAGAGAAGTCGACGCTCCTCGGGCGACTTGTCGAAGGTATCCCAGATGTAACTGACCCATTTGCGCTTGGGTGCTTTTTGGACAATGGGTTCGGATGAGGAGACAGCGCTCTCGTCTACTACAGCTGGTGAGGGAGCCATTGCAGCTGTCGTCTTGGTCTGAGTATCCCTAGCCGCGAGCTTCAAGAAATAAGAGGTATGGACGCCTCTTGCATGATATGACACTTCATCCTTATGAGGTCATTGACTACTGCGAAGAGAACGTATGGCCTATTCTTCTTCGGTTGAACGTGACTGACCGTACAACCTCATCCAGCAGAGCTCTACCCCTCTCGCAACGATCTCGGAGCTGAGACAATACACCACTACGGAATCATCATTACTTACCCCACTTACGCCATTCGTGCATGAGAATGTCAGCCTGTAAGCGCTCGGGTATCTCGGAGATAAGAAATTCGTGCTTCCTGATGATCATGCGGGAGGTCTAAAGCGTGAGGGGAAAACATGGATCACTGGTTGTCATTGCATGGTGGGAGCTCGTCATCGACGATGCAGATGATGTGCCTTGGCCAACAGTTGGTCCCGGCGTAGACCCTACTTCGGCTGTATGCGCTAGGTTGTATGCTCTATTTCCCCCAATATCTCAGGTTCCAGCCTAATGACAGGAAATCCACTGCTCGCCAACGCCACTATCTCGTCTCGCGCTCCCTCCGCCAATTAACCCCTTGACTCGTTCGCGCTGGATCGCCTTGGCTGCATGCCAGGTCTCCGTATGGCCGTCAATAACAGGTAATCCGCGCTTCTCTCTATACTTATTGATCCAGGCCATCAGATCGTCCACATATACCTCCTCGACATCCTTGAGCGAATGAAAGGTCTTGCCACTGCCTTTCGTTCTGATCTTCTCGGCATACTCCGCCCGCATGGCATCTTCTGACGGAACTTGAGCGATCCCCGCGAACACGTTCGCGACGACGATTGCCTGGAACTCGAACAGGGTGAAGGTTGCTGTATAGTAGGGGACGCCCACGAAAGCGAGAGTGGGATCCGGGATGTAGAAGATATCTTTGTGTAGGTTGTGCACCTGCGTTCCGTCGGTGACAAGAATCGTCTCATTCGCTTTCTCGGCTGGTGTCGCATCGTCGTGAAGTTCCGGCAGGAAGGGCAAAGTGATATGGTAGCCGGTGCATATGATCACATCGTCGATCTCGCAGAGCTTTTGGCCGGATTTGAGATGGATGTTCAGCGGGAGCGCTTGGTCGTCGGAAACTGTTCCGTTCTTGTTGGTGATCTCGAAGCGCTCCACCTCGCCAACTCTGGCCGCATTGTCAGGAAGGATGCTGGATGGCAGATCGAATATGCCATTCCGCGTGCTTTGGTAGACCCGCTTAGCGAACGGGCCGATCTCTTTGGCTACGTCGGTGGATGATACTCCGCCTCCGATAAGCAGTACGTTCTGGTGCAACGGTTACTTCTGTTCGTCTCGACTTTCAGGGACCGAGATTCATACCTTGTCCTTGTATGCGTCAGGCTTGCGATAGCCTTTTGAATGAATGATCCGGGTGGGCCATCTCATCTTCGTGTCCGAAAGCCCGGGAATATCCGGTACGCGGGGCGCATGGTAGTGACCGGAAGCCACGATGACCGCATCGAATGTCTAGTAAAATACATCAGCATCACAGTCTTCCACGCCCTTTCATAAGTCCTACAGCTGTCTCCTCGTGTTCATCCAAGCTCTTCGATTCTCCGTCTTCTCGCAGAGTCGACCAGGTGACATGCCATTTATGCCCGTCTTTTTTGACGCTGGTCACGCGCGCACCATAGATAGTGACTCCATCGGCTCCGGCCTTTCTAGATGTGTCCTGAATATACTCCTTCATGACTGTGTGACTGACGAACTCCGGCGTACCCTCTGGCCAGGCATTGAGCTTCACGCGCATCAACGTCGTTTCGACATTGTTCTTTAGACCGACATAGCAAGGCCTATCTCCGTCAACACCGACACAGCTACAGCACGAATGGCAACGCCTACCCAGGAGGAGCATGCTTCAGTGGCAGCGAGTCTTCATCGGACTTTTCGCCCTCCCTGTGCCGCTCGGATGTGGATGGCTTCATAGCCGGGTAGTTCGGTTCGAGAGGTTTCCGCTCGTCGTAGAGCCTATGCTTCTGGTTAACACGACTCTGTGCTCACAAGAACGCTGGATACGACATACCACACACCACCAGCGGCATGATTCCGCTCAAAGACGGTGACATTGATGCCCGCAGCAAGTAAATGGCCGGCGGACGTGACGCCGCTGATGCCGGCTCCGATGACGGCGACGTGTTGGATCTGACGGGTCATGGTGCTGTCGAGAGCGAAAGGCCCAGGTTTGCGTAAATTTCACCACCCTCTCGAGCGATGGCCGCATACCATGTCATTAAGAGTACGGTTCGTGGGCCCATATCGCTAACGCTATCTCAGGCGCATAAGGTGTAATAGTCCCACTCACTGGACCGAAGCGAAGGTCCAAATTATCCTGGGTCCGAATATCGCTCGAACGTCAGATCCCCGGTCCGCGATGGTAGAATTAACCAACCGGATCATGATACAGGATACATGACAAATGCAGTATGATGAGGCCATCGTATCCCTGCATGGTGATTCCTAAGCTAACTGCCGAGTGGAGACCTGTGCGTGTTGGAAGGTTCGGTTTGAAAAGATAAGGACCGACCCAAATGAGGGGAAGAGGACGAAAAAGAGGGGTTTCTGAGCAGAGATCACAAGGGTTCGAGTTCATAGGACGAGTGGGATGCAAAGGCGCAATGCCGTGGAACGATGATGTGATCCCACTCCGGCTATTGCACGGTGTTGCGTCTGGGGAGGATGTCCGACTGAAAGACATAAATAATAGACATCAAAAGCAGTAGCTGTAGCTAAGACCCTAAGCTAGGTCCCAGGAAATAAGTGCTGAATCAATCAACATATTTCGTACCCATGGCTCCAGCACCGATTGACCCCCGGATTGTCGATGTGGCGGAACCGTTGAAGCAAACCCTCCCGCTCCCACCGGCAACCCAGGAACGCCTGGAGAAAGCAGGAATCGATCTCTCGGAGGGTTATCCTTATCGCCCATCGCGTCCGTTGTATCTGGACGATGTCTACAGCATCCGTGACTACGACCGCCCACATGTGGACCCGGGTAGTCGAGCGGACCCCGAGAAGAAAGCACTCCTGTCCGCCGCCAAGGAGGTGATCCACCTCACCAGGCACATCGGAACCGAGATAGTAGGCCTACAACTAAAGGACCTCACCGACCAGCAGAAAGACGAGCTGGGCCTTCTGATCGCGGAGCGCAGTGTGGTCTTTTTCCGGGATCAGGACATCTCGCCCCAACAACAGAAGGAGCTGGGCGAGTGGTTTGGCGAGATTGAGGTCCATGTAAGCAGCTGAGCATCCTATGGCTACAGAGTGGGCGGCTCATATCGTTTTGCGTGTTTAAGCCTCAAGTCCCGCAAGTGCCTGGCGTTCCTGGCGTGACAGTCATCTGGCCTGCTCTGCAAGCAACAGAGCGCCCGGCAAACTTCCGCAACCCCGGAGGTGCCTCCCGCTGGCATACAGATCTCGTCCACGAGCGTCAGCCCGCGGGAGTAACCCACCTACACAACGACACGATCCCCAGTATTGGAGGAGACACCCTGTGGGCCAGCGGTTACGCGGCGTACGAGAAGCTATCGCCCGCGTTTCGCAAGATCATTGACGGTCGAACTGCGATCTACCGGTCTGCACACCCTTATCTAGATCGCAAACACCCGGAGCAGGGCCCAAAGTATGTCGAACGCGAACACCCCTTGGTTCGTGTCCATCCTGCGACCGGCTGGAAGGCGCTCTGGGTGAATCGAGCAATGACCGACCGTATCGTGGGCCTTGATAAAGCCGAGAGCGATCTCATTCTGGGCTACTTGTGTGACGTGTTTGAGAAGAACATTGACATCCAAGTGAGGTTCAAGTGGAGCCCTAGGACGAGTGTTCTTTGGGACAATCGGTCAGTCGCCCTACAAATGGTATATCAAGACAAGACTAACAATTTGCAGAATTACCATCCATAACGCCAGCTGGGATTATGAGGGCACTGAGCCACGGCACGGCACTAGAGTCACGTCCTTGGCGGAGAAGCCGTTCTTTGACCCGAAGGCTCCGACCCGCAGAGAGAGTTTGGGCTTGCTGGACAATGCCGAGAAGGAAGAACTAGCCAAGGTGAACAATTGAGAAGGAGATGAGATTGAATATGGTAGCAGTGAATCGGTATGCCAGGTTGAATGAAAATATATCATTTCCGCTCCAGGATATAGAGCCAGTGGAAGACGTCCGGCGTATGAGCAAAGGACGAGGTCTCGCCTTTCGGGGCTCTCAGGGGAGTTCGAGAATTCAAGTGCCAGTATCGAGCCAAGTAAGGCAAATTATCATAGCGCATCGTCGAGTAGGATATCGTGGCCCAGATGGCGCCTTTCTGCGTCAACGGTGCCAGATGCAGAGCCAGTACCTCCACCGGCGACAATGTTATCTCTCCAGATTCCTCCACAACCTGCCGGATAGTCGGACATGTGTTCGATGCCTCGGAAGCAGAAGGGAATGTCAAGGGCGCCGCCGTCGCGATCGCATCGCTGGTGCTCTTGTCAAATACCACATCGAACGGTCCGTACGGGATCGTCCTGGAGACGTCTTCCCAAGACCGTAGATCGACTTGCATCCAGTGCATCGCCTGCGACTGTTCCTTTGTGGCTTCTGTTTCGCGACCGATGCGGACGGCCTCGAAGGAGAAATCGACGTTCTGTTGTGACAGCTTCGCGTAAGTTCATGGTTGTATACGTGCAGAGGCCGTTCATAACTAACCAGTATTTGGCTCCCGGGCCAACCTCGCTTTGTAAACTCAGCGCAGAGTTTTGATCCCAGCTTGGAGATACCGGGTCCGAGGTGCAAGGCACGAGGTGAGGGTGCTGGCTCATCGAGCGCGGGGCGGCGGTCAAGATGCGACATGACCGCGTCGATGAGCGGTTCGCCAGGATTCAACCATTCGCCGACATCGCGACCACTAGAGAACTTATTATCCCAGAAGACTGGATCATCGTAGTCTGGAGTACCTGTTTGCTTTGTATGTGTTCGGCCATTGCCTGCGGTCGCCATCCTCGGTGGGGCTGCGTGCATGGTAGGAAGAAAGAAGACCTTTCCATGCTCTTCCACCGGTCGGTCGGATAATACTGCAGACACGTGATGGATACTTATCTTATCGTCAACCAGTGCGGGGACAAGCTCAGCTCATACAGTAAGTAAGTAACGTTACTAACTTACTACCTAGTAGTTTCCACAAATGCCACTCATTTCCAAACCTGCAGGTGTAAAGAGCCTTGCAATATTCCCAGTATTCTGGGTACCAACCCGCCTGTTCCCAGTCCACAAGCACAAGCCGAGCAGGACTACGAGATACAACGATCATGTTGACCCGATTTAGATCACAATGTGTGAACTTGATGTCTCCGTCATCTGGCAGCAAACGTCGGTTGGGGTCGTCGTATCTGTGCTCAAACGGTAATTGGTGTAGAAGAGCAAACCAGTCATTGAATGCTTTGATGCTGGGGAAAGGGGCACTTTGTGGTTGACTAATGCAGACATAGTCTAACAAATGTCCGCGGTCGATCGATCCTGGATAAATGTAAGTCATTGGGTTTCGGCGATTCAAGTAGCACCTTCAGCCATACCTAAGAACCTGTCCGATGGATCCTGAGCAAGGTTGCGTAGTCTCTCCATGGTCTGAGATAATTAATCTTTCATGTTGCCTTTCTCTTGCATGCTAAGCCGGTCCCAACACTCCCCCAGAGTAGGCTCCTTGATGAGCTCCATGTAAATGAAAACATACCCTTCGTCATCAACTCGCCAGCCGAAGACCTCAGGAACCGGTATCTCATCACCGAAAACGGTTTTGATCATCCAAAGATTCAGTGCTTCAGTGAAGGTGGTATGGGGCCCAAGTTTAACAATCAGGCCAAGGTCCTCGTATTTTATGGGGACGGGCTTGGAATCTAAATCGATGTCCTTGGACAATGCTCTCACCTCGGCTGTTGTAGGCAGGCGCCCTTCCGGGTTTGCAGTGAAGAAAGAGGCATCGCTGAAGTCCAACTCCTTCTGTGTGATATCCGAAAGCTCAAGTGATGTAGGCCGGTCGCCTAGAAGATATCGAACCATTGTGAAGGTAAAGAATATGTGATCGTCGTCGATCAGTTCCTCTGCAAGTAGCCACAGCGTCCGATTAAAGCGGTCTAGTAAGCACACAGGAGAGTTCAAAAGTACGAGCTCAAAAGAATCTACAGAGAGAACGAGTTACAAGTGAGATCGACGCAGAAGATATGTTCCTAGGACAATCTAGTCACCTGTTACATTGCACCGTAAGAACCGTAAGTGACCCCGCACGTCAACACCCGGAGCAAGTTTAGTTCGCGCTGGCCGAATAAAGCAGGCGGTGACCATCGGCTAGTGGCTAGGCTCTTGTGGCGTGGCCTAGATCGGGTTGGCGGCGAGCTCAGTACTGTGGTTGCCCGGTTGCATTTCCTACTACATATAAGTATCTCATCACATGCAGAAAAAGCACGATAGAACCCCCTAAAAGTAGTGCTTCTTCGCCACTCAGCTTAAAAGCCCTCATCTTGTGAAGATTGTGAAAGAGATATCTGACAACACGGAGTTTCGAATGGCTGAGAAAGGAATGTGTAATCTGTCGACGACGGCACACTCACTTATTTGACACCTGACTAGTACAGTCAACTGTATACCTAGTTACTGTCTTGGGCATCAATCACTCCAAATCGACCTGAGCTGGAGAGCTTCTCGGTCATACCGGGCTAATAACATTTGGTACTCTTTAGCTGCTAGGTTCTAGCCCACTCACTGCCTATATACTGTAACAACATGGCTGATTGGTAAGTAAAGAGGCAGTGTGAACATGTAATAAGTGCTATGCCTCCGGCTTCTTCATCGAAGGCCTCTTTTAAGCCTGTCATCATCAATGTATGTCCGAAGAGGGCTTCGGTGCCACCTTTTTGTATTCCAAAGTTAAGATATTAAGGATTGTTGATCTTTTATCTTCAATCGTGCAAGTCTAGTGACATAAGATATGTGGGCATGCTTATATTGCCTGGTCTGGAACTTGATCTCAAAACAGTATCACATAGTGCAGGCCAATTGTGTCCTCATCTCACTATTTCACTAGTCCCATCTTAAAGAACAGTTTGGTTCTACGAACAGTTTCGTTTTAACACCCTATCGGACTTCTTTACCTCCATCCCTGGCTTTGTACCTGATCCAATTTCGATGGAGTAACTCAGAATTCTAGTCCACAATTGCCTCTTGGTTTACTTCATCTCATATCAAACATGGCTAGACTCCTCTGAAGCACCTTAATCTTGCTCCTCCGCCGGACTAACGAGGCCTCTGGGCCTTCATCACAACCAACACGCGGCACACTTCAGGACCCGACCCCATTTGATTACTGCCTCTTCAGGCCATTCCTACCGATATTCCGCAACAGTTATATTACAGCACCAGCAGCCCTCTGCAGAAGCCCAGAGTCGAATCTCAGTACTTCCGGAGATCCTTTGTCCAGGGCACAACAGCGAAGATGCTAAGCCCCAGTGATGTCCCAAATTTGCGCGATTTTATGATTGCGAGGGTGTGGGGCGACGAAGCGACGACTGGGTACAACAGGCATTGCACCAAGTGGGACTTCCTCCAGCCAACCTGAAGCTGTAGTGTTCCCCAGCTACTTTCCAGCCTAATGCAAGAATCTTTGTCACCTCAAAGCTTAGTCAAGGGGGAGTGTGACCATATTTTGAAGTGTGATGTGGCTACTGTAGAGGGGTGTCCCGTGTATGCAAAGAAGGGGCCGAATATATCAGGTGCCGGTGCTTGTCTTCGGGAGGTCTCATAGGATGACTGGCACGCAATTTCGGGTGTAAATCCCTGGACAGAAGTGTAGCGCTACTACCTAGCTAAGGGTCTGCTCAGGGTTCAGAACAAATTAGTCTCAGCCAATCAATTCTGTTGTTTCTCAAGTGATTGCGACAAGAGGGCCTCGCTGTCGGAATCCTAGCCGATGATTGACTTGGCAGAATAAGCCTTGTGGCGCCGTCTTGTAGTGAAGAGTAGTTCCGAGGCAATGCTGCGATGCGGTCTCAGCAATCGAGGTAGTGTATACCCACATGTCTCAGAAACCTCGCGCCGGCTGCAAGCTAGCTTTAGGCACTAGCAAATCTAAAGACTCGGGATCTAGCGAGTTCCGACTACAATATTGTGGAGCTGGTGAGTTGAGACTCTGCTAGCGTTTCAGTTGTGGCAGACTCAGGTCCCTACATTCTGGTACACGAATTGAAACCAGGAAAGCAAAATGATGAGCTTCCACCGCTGTTGTCGGAGTTGTTACTATTGCCAGCCAGGCACAGTGGAGAAGAACAAAGATTGCGCCCGATCCTACCGCAGGAGATATGGAGCCTATGATTCTAGTCCCGTGCTGGTATGGAGCTAAACTGTGAGAGACGCCACATCAAAGCGAGCTATCAAGACGCTAGATAACTGTAGTTAAGACATATCTAAGCCCTTTCCATACAAGCGATTCTCTTACACACCACTGTTATCGGCCGAAGCCTCAAGTCACCAATATCGTACGGCCGAGCTCCAAGCCAAAATAAATAGTATATAAAGAACACCAATAACCTTCATCCGTGGCTCAATCAATCCTTGGTTCACATTTAAGCCCCCATCCAGGACAAGAAGAAAAATTCATGGATTTCGTCGCCTTTGTGTCTCGCCTCTCTATATCTGGAATCCTGATCTCCTCCCTCTGCTGGTACTACGCGGTTTCTCACGGCGTCGATCCTGACGTTAAACACATTCTATGGTGTCACGCTATCTCAACCATCTTCCCTCTCTTCTGCTACCGATGGCCAGCTCATCAACGGCCAACCGCTGCCTGATTCGTGGTATCGTCTACATCTCGACGACAGCGAGACAGTATTCAACCTCACGTCTCGCGAGGCAATGGCCTCCGATGTGAGCAGCAGCACCACGTCGTCGCTAGTAGCTCGAACCCCCATGACGGTCTGCGAGAAGATCAACGCGGTGGCGGGCTGCGCCACAATCGGCAGCTACGTATACACCATCTCGTCCGCCATCGCGGGGCTCATCTGGGCCCAGAGCCACGAGAAAAGCTGCGCCACGAGCAGCGGCACCATTGACGGCTGGTCGTACGAGTACTACGCGACGGGCCGCAACTGCGATACGACCGCCCAGCAGGAGACGATCCACGGCGCTCTCTACCATTACCTGACCACGGTGGATAAGGATAAGGTGTGCGGCACGCAGTGTCTGTCTCTGGACCATGGCGGCACCTATGAAGCCTACCTGAAACTGGGCAAGACGGCGTATTTTGACTCCAGTGCGTACTGTGGTCCGCTGCTGTCTTTCGTCAACTGTGCCTCGGGTGGAGTCAATAGCTTCTAATAGGGGCGAGTTTCTTGCTCTGGGCGGCGGTAAATTTCTTCGTATCGAGGACCGTAAGCGAAAGCGGTCGATGCCAGCTTTCAGGGACAATCTGTTTTCGATGACTATCTTCGGTAGATTTGTGGGGAGGGGGGATGGGGGGATGCTTCATGTGTGGTGGTATGGGCAATGGGTGCAATACATCTTGTGTATTGTGTCATTTAGAGACATTGAAGGAGACTGTCTCTTGTAGGAATAAGTCATCTAAGGTCTATGCGATATATAGAGAAGGCAATGGGCATGATCGATATTCATCAGGAATAAGTATTTATCCACAGCCTTAAGAGATTGTAACTATTCACTAAGTCACATTCTAAGCAATAGTTTTTTTCACCTTATGAAATCTTATTACGAACATCATCCTGGCTCAGGTATCCTCATTCATGTCTAGTGCATAGATGGACTGTTACTTCCATTCTACTATCGCCTCACTATTTCCTTTATCCTTGTCTTTGACATTCTTCGGACTCTTCTAACGTACTTTCAATTGCTAGATCTTCCATTGCCTCCCGATAGCCCCGCAAAAAGAAGCAAGCCTTTCAAGATTTCAACCACCATACTCAGCATGGATATTCGTTCTTTTCTTATCTCCTGATAAGGAAAGACAACCGATGCTCCAGCGTCCGTATGCTCTGGGCCTCCGTCACAACCAAGACATGGCAATTCAGAGCCCTGGGATTTAGCGATCACTCCCTCTTCAACCCGATCCGACCGACATTCCGCAACCCCCACAATCCAACACCACAAGCCCCCAGCATAAGCCCAAAGCACGTCCAGAAGACGGCGCGGTAGCCAACCATGAGTGCCTCGGGGGACTGCTTGTCTGCGATCGAGGAATCCCGGGTGACGCCCGCGGAGATGATGGCGAAGATGGTGAGTCCCAGAGAGGTTCCGAACTCCGCGATCGTGTTGAAGACGGCACCCGCCAGGCCGCGCGTCTGGGGGGTAAAAGCGTCCGCGACTATCAGGTTGGCGATGGTGAAGATCACTTTGTAGATGTACCAAGGGGCCGGGGTCAGAAACTTGGTCTCATATTTGGGTTTAAATTTGTGGGAGTAGAGAGGCAAGGAGCGACTTTGGTGGCTTACCATCGGCTGAAAGGGGGCTGAGCAGAACCGCCCAGAAAGCACAATACCACCAAGACCATTGAGGGTCAATGATAGCCATGAGCAAGGGAGACCCGGCGCTGAGCAGCGAGCTTACAAGCACCAGGTGATTCGCATGCACACGATGGACCAAGAGACCTGTTCCCAAATTTAGGAGAACGCCAATGACGACATTTGGCAAGAAGCGGAGAGCGGACTGAAAGCCCGATAGCTCTTGAACTTCCTGGAAGCTGCGGGAAGGTATTTAGAGATGATTGTTCCCGTTGTGCAGGCGGGGCTGTCGTCGTCCGGGATCAACTTACAAGAGACTGAGAATGGTTTCCACGCCGTTCAGCACCGCCCAGGAAAAAAGGACAATGACACACATGGACGAGAATGCCGTATTCTTCCACAGAGAGTTTGGGATCAAAGCGGGCTTTCCCGCCCGTTCGCGCCTGCCCATCCAGACCCAAAAGCCAGGGATCATGGCCCCCGCGCAGCAAAGCAGGGCGATATTCTGAGCCTTGTGGACATTCGATGGATCGTCAGAGATAGTACTGTGACCATTTTTAGCAGGCTCCGCCCACCGCCAAGCGTGCTAGATGTGTGTAGAACATACGCGAACACGTAGGAGATAATTCCTAGGCAAGAGCTTGAAAGGATTATGCCAATCCAGTCGATCTCTGCTCGGAGCCTGCGCAAGGTGATGGGTTGGCGGGCGACATCCTGTGGAAGCTTGAAGTAATTGATAACCATGAGAGTCCCGGTTACGCCGCCGCAAAGATAGAAACCGAATCTCCAACCCAGCGAGGATCCTTGGAAAAGACCCCCAAACACAAGCCCGACCGCAAATCCCAGAGGCTGTCCCAGACCTAGGCAAGCGAAGCCGATGTTCCTTGGCTTGCCCATTGGTAAGGTCTCTGTCAAGATGCTAAAAGCTGTTGGAAGACACATTGAAGTTGCTATGCCTTGGAAGGTCCGAAATAGGATCAGCTGGATACCAGAATCTGCTACCCCGCATCCTAGAATGAACGCGGCGAGAAGAAGACAGCCCAGTAGATTGATCATCCGGTTGCCCATAAGGTCTGCCATAGACCCTGCCAGAAGCAGGCAGCATCCGTTTGCGAGACTGATGCGCGCTTAGCAATATATTACCTACAGCCGAGACGGGCCACTTACTGGTATACCGATACCGGCCTAGTAGATCATACATGCTCTCATCAGACAACAGAGTTCAGCTTGCCACGTAAAGGAGTATGGATTCTTACCACATCAATAGGTTATCTGGTAGTCTCAAATCGGCTGCTATCACAGGTAGTCCGATAGTCGAAAGACCGCTGCTCATGCTTCCGACGAACGTGATGCCAGTGAGGGTCGTGATGAGAATCACCATTCTACTTCGCGACAGTGTAGTGGCGTGCACATCTTGGGTACTGTCGATTGACTCTTGCTGCTCGGACAGGGAGGTTCGAGGACGAGATGTGTGTTGAGACAACAGACTCAAGTCACGCAAATCTAGGACCGGTTCGGTTGTCTGAGCGATGAAGAGAGATTGAGACATGATTTGTCCGTCCTGCAATTCGTCAAGCGTGTATGTGAATGGAGGCGATCGATAACATCGCTCGGGTAGGAACGCTTATGTTTCTGTTTCGGCGTCAAGGTTGATTGAATCGGAACAGCCCGCAACACCGACCCGGTTGGCGTACCGGGTGTGATGATACGTCGTCCTGGTAGCGGGGCTAGCTCGGGAGAATTGAGCTAGCATCATAGAATCATCAAGCGCGCGCTGGCGCTAGCAAGACCTAAACCGGGAAAGGGAGGTCAATGACAGATTCATCGGATCCTCTATCTACTATCCCTGATTTAGAGACCTCGAAATGCCTACGGAAGGTAGTTCCGGCAGAGAAGAAGTGGTTGGCACGGCCCACCGTAGTCCTCATAGCTAGGTATCCGCTGAGTAAGCTGCATTGCAGTGGGTGCATAGATCAATGGCTGCCAAGGGATTCTTCCACAATGCATAGACCGGTGGCATCCATCTCAACCCTATATCCTAGTTAATCAAATCCTTAGAGAGTTTACCTGAGACCATATTTTATCCCTGAAGCTTAGGTCTTTCGTCATTATAAAAAGGAGTTTGAGCGACAATACATCATCATGGCTCCCGGGGACTCTGCCACGACGACTTGACTCTATATCCCTGTCTCGACAAACCATATTCCAGCTTCGGGGCTGTTCAAAACCAAACATAGAAAAGTGCCATATACCGGGTCATCGCATTGGCTTGGATCGAGAACATGAGGCATGAAAGCGACTTCAGCGACAAGATAGCGCGTTCCGGGAAGAGCGACACCTAAGGTATACATACAAGTAGCGGTGATATTCACCTCATGAGTGACGAAATGAGAGAAGGGCAAGAGATCAATAGCTTGTGCGAGCCTCAGTGAGCTCATCACTACCAGCGGGGTCATGCTTCGGAGCTAAGATCAGCATGTCCGGCTTTTCCTGCCATGAGACTACGTGTTGCATGAAGTACAGTACACCAAGCCCGGTTTACTTCGATCAGTCTTGCCACACTGAATCTACTTCTTCATTCATGTTGCCATTCGTTATAGGTAGGTCATGAATCTTAGGAAGTAGCTAAGTAGGTTGTGGTATTAGGCCTTGATAAACATAGTGGATGAGACAAAGAACATTCACATTCCGGTTGCTACCAGGACAGTATACATTATCATGCATCACGATATCTCTATTCACTGAGGCAACCTGGCACACTTCATTTCTCAACCCCTCTCTGAATGTCACGCCTAATCGTCCCGCTCCCTCTATAGCCCTCATATGCATAAGTAGACTGATCATCGCGTGGGAGCAAGAAGGTCTACGAATCAGCGGCTCCCCAACTCGGCCTGAGATACCCTTGGAAACGACAACGCCACCCCAGCATCAAGGGACACAGTACCTGGGGGCCATCTGGTCGCACAGTAGGGTTACTTGTCACTCGTACGGGAAGAGGGGAGCTCAACCGGCGGTCGGTTCCAGGGCGACATCAGCGCCAGCGTCGACCCGGACCATCAATGCCAACCAATAACCACCCATCCACCCAATCATCCAGATCATCGCGGAGCAGGGATAAAGGGCGGTGCAGTGGTTGTTTTGCCCAGCTGTTTGTGCTGCATCGCACACCCTCTCGTGACTACCCCGCGTTTCTGGTGACGAGACGAAGGACATATAAACCTTGTGTCACCCAGCACCTCTGTCACCACAACACGGTTGAAAGAGCTGGTGGCCTTGACTTTCCTTCCTACAACTCGCAGCTCTTTCTCCCTTTCATCGTCAGATTCATCGGACAACTCACACAAACTTCCAATCTCAGAAGATGTCAACCCCTCAGATCATCCAGGGACTCTCGTCCGCTGGATCCACGCTTGGTGCATACTCCCGACAGCAGCTGGCGACTCTGCGCAACCGCTTCCTCAACACAGGTAGGACACCGCAACAGCAATCTCATCAAAGCAAAGGCGCGACGAGCCAAGGTATCTAACCCATTCATCCAGAGAAGCGAAGAACAAGATACCAGCTCGTTCAAACTTCCTTTAGCGTCCACCGACCGGTCTGGATTGCCGCGGGCGGTGCGGCCTATACAACCATGGGCGCCGTCTATCTTACCCTACGCTACATGCGACACTTAAAGTAGACCTTTTTTTTGTTTGCCTCACGCGACTTTCGCGAGGAAGGGAAGGGGGTTCAGCAGACCGAGCCTAGCTGTCTGAGACAGTCAGACTTCGTACTTTCGATGACACCAGTCACATTTTCTTTCAAACCAATCATTCGATTTATCAAGGAGGGGCTTTCGAGGACGGGATCTTCCAGGTGATGACCTACCGGCGTTTAGGAGGGTTTTGTTTATTTTCCGTCGAGGAACGGAACACAGTACTTCAGGTGTACTTAGCTACTACTACCGCCTAGTATCTTATTAGCATGATAAATCTTATGAATCAGATTCACAAAGATAAATGTCGCAGAAGAGGGGCACTGCTCGATGAGAGCGCCAGCCAGCCAGCCTCGGAGAGGGTCGAGGCAGGGTCAGCGTGGACTGCAACTTGACCCCCCCGGTAGACTTCAGAATCCATGTCCCTTTTGTTACTTTGGGTGGGTGGGATTCAGCCAATGTGCTCACAGTATGCGCGACAGGGATAGCCTGGAGGCGTCGCAAACAGGCAATCTGGGTCAAGGGCTCACCCAGCACACCGACCAGACGCACAGGACAGTAATATACTCCAAACCCAACCCATTCATTGGATCGCGTCGGTGGCTGCTCATGCCATAGTCACTGATTGTAGGTGACGGTGGTCTGATCATGGCTCGTCTACCCTTCCATAACCTTGACAACAGCATCGTCCCTTTCTAGATGTGAAGTCCAAACAATGTATGGAAAGTCCCCCAATGCACCATATCCACCACGCGCCTTAGCCCCTGAATCCAGACCTAGAAGAGTCAAGCCATAGCTAATGTTCACCGGCATCGGAGGGAAGTGGGCCACTACCCCAGATTTTCTGTTTCGGCAGCTAAGGCTTTTTGCCTTCGCTCCCTTTTCGCTCCTAGTCTACTCCTGTCGTAACCTAGAAGGAGAAGCCTGTGATGGAGGGTGGCCCGTGGAGAGAGGAAGGAGGGCCAGTAATCAAAACACGAGTGAATGATTTGCTGGAGTAGGCCTGTCTCTTTGGCATTTGTGCTTTACCCCGCTTTCTTCAGTGGCCAGTCACGGATGGAACTTGGGCAGGTGTTGTTGCATGATGACTTCTGCCCGGAGCCGTGGCTACCCCGCATTGACTGGGAGATCGAAGCTGACCACCGCTGCCTAAGTGATACTTATCCAGTTACCTGGCTGGTACTTTGTTGTGACCGGACTCGAGGTAAAGGGGCAATGCTTATGGCTCGCTTGTAGAAGTTTTGTCGGGCCTTTTTATACTTAGCAAGGGATGCTACCTGGGAGAGGTCTAATGTGTTCCATGTTTTATTCTATGCCTCCGACACTTTGTTTGGGCTGGTTTTACAATTATGATCGAGGTGTTTTAGCGTTTCAGTCGCTATGTACGGTTGAGGTGGATTACATTTCATGCAGGGAAACACTTTGCTGGGTATTTATGTTTGGCCAGATATCTGGCAAAAGTTGACCGTTAGGAGATCGTCTCATTTGTTTATCATTATGGCAAAAATAAGAAAGATACATTTACAGAGTACAAGAAGCCTCAAGCGAGCTGTACAGTACTCAAGTACATGGAAGACTGGGGAGTGATAAGGTTCCAATCAAACAAAGAAATTGCAGTGTTGATGATGGCTACCACACGAGTCCTAACCAGATTAGGACCTCCAACAGAGGTCTCGCAGATGATGTCATTAGATTTTGGTTTATTTTGCAAACAAAAAGTTCGTCTATCAACAGCAAGGCCTGCTGGCCCAATGGTAAGGCGCTTGACTACGAATCAAGAGATTGCAGGTTCGAGCCCTGCGTAGGTCATTTCTTTTTGCATTTTACCCGCTTATGCCAGGTTCCACTTCTTACTTTCTGAGCCCCAATACGCCTGGAATCTGCATAAGACACGGCATTGAGTAGAGAGCGTGTTACTCCGGCACAAATAAACGATGGCAGCTCGCAAGCGACCGTCATAGCGCATATAGGGCGGCTGTTTCCCCAAAGTATTCCCCTCCCATTCACACATCCCTCGCTAGAACCCTCTCCACATCACCCGGCAAATCATACTCGAACAACGCCTCTTGCTGCTCTCTGAAGACACTTGGAAAGCAACCTATTCCCGCCGTCATCATCAGCGTCAGCATCATGTCCCTCCCGTGTCTGCACTTTTAGGAATCACGATAGAGCACTCACCCATGAGCCACATAAACACATACATCACATACTCCTGCACCACCCCCATATCCCGCTTCCGGTCCTGCATATTCTTCGCCCTCGCAAGGATAGCTTCCACCCTCGGCCGTCTCATCGCCTCATACTGTTTCGCAGCAACCTTGATGACTTCTTTCTCCACCCTGACACTAAAGGGCTGGCTCTCCTCAGCATACACCCGCCGCAGCTGATGCGAAAGGAACATAACCAAAGCCTCGACATCCTCCAAAGCCTGCGACGACCCCTGCCCCGACGTCGGGGGCAGCGAATGTGCGGCATCGCCGATCAGCACGACCCCGTCCCGCTCCCAGGTCGGAAGCTGCGGCGAGGTCCAGGTCGGCCACATACTCTCCACACGGATCTTGCGAACGATCCTCTGGACCACTGGATCCGTCCAGTGGGCGTAGCGCTCCCGCAACTGTCGAGTGACATCTTCTGTATCAATGCTTCTGGAGTCGGGGGGACTCTTCTCGATCGCGTACGTCGACCACCACGCCAACAGATCCCCCGGTTGCGAGACATGACACGGTGAATCACGATTCCGGTCCGAGCTCGCACTTTTCGCGTAGAAGTAGCCGAAGAAGCCGTTCCCGCCGAAGATGAAGTTCATTGATCCTGTCTCGACGAGGTGGTTGACGCTGTCTGCTGGGATGAAGCCC